GCTTTCGGGCTGAAGCCCCTCCCAAAAATTAAATCCTGGATCCTCTAGTGGTCTCTTGTATACTTTTGAGGTATCCATTGTTTTCTAGAGGCTTTCTGGTGGGTTGTTTACTAATCTTAACCTCCTTGCCTTTATATCACGAGTTATTGATTGACCAGTTTCTGTAAGCAGTTCGGTAAGCAGTTCTGTAAGCAGTGTGAGTACTCTAATCCCAGAATTCCTCGGATGTCGTGTGGAGTATTTGCATCTTAAATCTTTCAATAATTCCTTCTAGGATGCTGGTTTGTGTAGATATTTCGCAGCTATAGTTCAGAACTGGTTTTATCAAGTATTGATTTAAAATATCTAGAGATTTTTTGGAATACTAATGCCTTCAAAAGATGGAACATGATTTGCGCTTATTACAAGCTGGTCTATTGTCAGAATTGGTCATTCAATGAAGTTATTGTGGAGTCGAGATATTTATTTATTTTAAAATATAAAACCGACATAAAAACCGTTATCCAACATCTCTAAGCCAGCATAAAAATTATAAGATTAATAATATATAAGAAATCAAACTGTAATGGTCTCGATATTTTGTTTAGAATATATAAAATTAAATAGCTTATACAGCTTATTAGAGGCTTGAATGATGAAACATTTTCTTAGCTAATTGAAGAAGTCTTGATGCTTCTGGTTCAGGGATTTCTCAATCCATCGCGCAGGAGGCTCTTTGAAGAAGTCTTCATAAAGTAGAACTCATTTACAACTTTTTTTTTTTTTTAAATCGTGAAGATATCAATGATAATGGTCTTGATGCAATGTTGCGTTCTTTCGACATTATGTGTTGCATCTGCGAGAAGAGAAAGTTATATTTACAAATAGACATTATTTTTTTAAATAGGTTGACCTATTCTGAGTTGTAAACTATTTTCTAAGTGATAAAAAGCAGTGTCGACTTTTTACTTGATACGTAAAAGATACAGAGCACCAAGACCTCGGAAAAGCCTTTACAACACAAATCAACATTATTGAATTTAGCTTTTGTAGTTTACGTGTCTCTAATTAATAGTATCAAATCATCGGCATACCCGAACATACGTAATGTTCGACCTACATTCAAAGCGTTTTCAGTGTTTATCATCTCTCTAATGCCAAGTTCTAGTGCTAAATTATATAGGATAGGTCACCTGATTTAAAAAAAAAAAAAAAAAATGTCTGCCAAGTGAGGTCAGTATAGCTTCCTCACAGTTTTCATTGGCTATAAAATATCTATATTACAAGTTTTACAATTTTTTGTATCAGAATGAGATCTCTGGGAAAAGCCGATTCGGAAATACAGTTACCCCACAACATTCAAGTGTTTGATATACGCGAATTTTCTTCATCTGCAAATATCAAAATGTGTAAGAGATTCTATATTTGATGATTCATAATAGAAAAAAAAAATCTGGTGCGCGCAGCACACAACTTTCACTTACCGCTCTACTTTGAATAGAAATTATTTTCTGGCCATGTTGGGCTATTATAATTTTTCAAAATTTCATTTTAAACGGATCTAAAGCTTAAAGCTTACAGATAACAAATAATTAGGAACATTCTAATCACAAAAAATCTATTTATTACATCGACGGTAGGTGTAATCCAATCTAAAAATCTAGTTACTCTATCTGCTTTTATAAACCACACAACTTCAGTCATTTCAACATTTTTGAGTAATGTCATTTTAGTGATATTTCTAGTTGAAAAGTTATCTATTCAGACAGTGTCCAAATATAGAACTGTGAATAAAGGTATAAATTTAGCCACTAGAAACATCAATAAAATTAACAATAAACAATGTTGAAATTGAAGTTAATCATTCTGTCAACCGAAAGGCTCATGTATGCCTACAGAGGTTTGAAAGTATATCTGAATATTTAACCTATGAATGATTATGGATTGTAGGAGTATTAGTTATTAAGCTGTTATTTTCCATTTTGGAGTTTACTAAAAAAAAAAATTACGAGATTTTCATTGACTTGCTATATATAGGTCAAAAGTTGTCACACTTCTTGTAAGTGGATAATGTTGGGATTTCACAAGGATAAAATTCATCAAATTATTCACTCATTATAAAATATAAAATAACCAAAACTTTATAACCATCAATCAATAAAAAAATATAAAACAAAAGTTAATCAAAAATCCATAAAAGATTTTTTTACATCTAATGATAATATAGTTACAGAAAAAAGCAATGAAATAAAAAATAATCATAACAAACAAATAAATGAGTCTGGAAAACGAAAAGTAACAAAAGAATATTATAGGGTTTTTTTTTTTTTTTTTTTTTTCATAGCCTCTTTCTACTTATTTTTGTCTTTAATCCTTGGATTGTCTTAATAATACTCCTTTTACTGCTTAAAAGCATTGTAAGGTTCATTTTTAGATTTTTGTCGTTTCTAAATAGTTCATTCTTCATCTGTAATATAAAAGGTGATGGGGCTCACCTTAGGCTTGAGTCGACCTTATCATCTAGAGCTTAAAACTAAATTAATAAAACATCTATCATGTGATTTCTTGCCAACGTTTTGGAATTTTCGCTGGTAACAAATTGTTAAAAAGAGGGTTCGCCAATTGTTGGGATTTTTCGAAAAATTCTTTTATTGTTGATAAATTTAGTGTTGCTTGTATATCCACTGTCTTCTTTCTCTGCAGCGTGGTTCCTCTTACGGTTTTTCTTATTATTCCATTTTGAAAATATTGTAATCTTTTCAGAGTTGTTTTGCTGATGTGTTCGAACAGAGGTGCACCATACAACAGAGCCGGCCGTATTATACTTGTATAGACTAGAAGCTTTAGGCGTAAAGATAGGTTTGTTGTCCGAATTAAATTTTGGAGTCTGTATGTCTTAGATCTTACTGTTTTAATTTTTTTGTCAAAATGTCTAGTAAATTTAGGTTAAATTACATCGCTTCTTTAACACATATTTAATGATAATAATTGCGAGAAACACCGGTTTATATAATAAAAACAAGATAAATAACTATCTAAGTCCAATGAAGGATATAATAAATAAATTGAAACAAAAAGACGTAGTATACAAGGTGGATTGTAATAATTGTGAAGCGAAATACATTGGCGAAACAAGACAAAAAACATGGAAAAAAGGATGAATCAGCATCTTAATGATACAAAAAATAGTAAAACAGACAACAAAACAGCCTTAGCCCATCATAGTATTACTAACAGACATAATTTCTACTTAGTAAAACCACAAATTTTATATAAGGAAACACACAGTATACACAGAAAAGTAATAGGGTCAATATTCATTATTAAACTTAACAGCTTAACAATAAAACAGCTATTAATTTTAAAACTGATGCGGCTGAAATATTGAGTCATTATGCCTATCTAATAAACAAATTAGATATATAAAAATAAATAAAAGAATTGGAGTTTGACCCCTTGCTCAAAGTTTTATTTCAGTATTTGACTAGGCTCTCCCTATAGGAGACTAAAATATGATTTCAAGGTAATATATTCAATATTGAAAATAGTTAAATACATATAATAATAGTAATAATTTTCTAAAAGGATAATATTTTCGACCCATGCTGGTTTCCAGTTTCTCTTTATCTAGTTTCTAAACCTGAGATGATAGCGCTCAGGATTGTGCCGTTACCGAGACTCATCATGATATCACTGCAACTGACAACAGAAAGGTTAAATGCTTACTTCCGACCCAGATAGGGCTTGTGCAAATCTGATTCGGTGAAGGTCCACTGACGTCAGCGGGTACTGATTCAGCGCCAGCCAATAGAAAGTGGTGTAACATTATCTACGTGACGAGATAGGATCCTCCGCTACATGATCTAAGCTAATTGGTCGCTTCTTGCGCACGTCCTTTTTAGAGATAGCTCCCGCTGGCTACTGTTCCTATTGGCGTTCTTCCTCGCAATCTCTTATCAAAATATAACTATATATAAATTGTTATTGCCAATATAAAATTATATTAAATTAATATTATTATGCTTGTTGGCTTTGTTTATTAGTCGTGGTACAGACCCCTTTTTACCAAATTATTAATATCCGCCTGAAACTTCGTAAATAGTTTCATCTCATCGTAATCTACAACTATTTTATTTACGAAACCTCTTGGAATCGGGGAGTTTTCAATCTGGAGGGGAGCAAACTTTGTTTATTTAATTAGGTATTAAAAACTCGTAAAAACCTATTTGCTTTCCACTTGGATCGTAAAATAATTTTATAATAAAATCGAGAACAAAAAAAAGTGGTCTACAAAAATATTGAGCCGTTTGGTGTGACCTATACCCCCAACTTTTCAAAATAATTAGGTTAAATAGTCCAATATTTTTGTAGATCACCTTTTTTATCTATTTTGTGATCAAATTACCTTACGATCCAAGTAGAAAGCAAATGTGTATTTACGAGTTTTAGTACTTAATTAAATAGAGAAAGTTTGCCTCCCCCTCCAGATTGAAAACGCCCCAATTCCAAGAGTTTTCGTAAATAAAATAGTTGTTGGTTACGATGAGATGAAACTATTTACAAAGTTTCAGGCGGATGTTAATAATTCGATAAAAAGGGGTCTGTACCACGAACTAGTAGGGAGGGTTTTTGTTTCTAAAGACTTGGAAAGGGAAAACACTAAGAAGGAATCGCCGTCGGGAAGTAGGTATAGCCACTTCAGCTGGGTGTACCAGCAAGAAGCACGAGGACGTCTGGGGATACCAAAGACTTACACAAGGCAGCTGTGGTCGAAGTGAAGGATACAAGAGAGGTTATAAGGAACTGGTCTGGTTTGTAGAGGAATACAATCACAGAATCTCAGGAGTTACTTAAAGATATGACATCATATATGACACACATGCAATACAGATCTAGTATACCACTCCGAAATATATGATAGGTTATACCAGGCCTGAGCATATGTGCAGATTATTCATGTACCTAATTAAATAAACAAAGTTTGCAAATTCGTAAATAAAATAGTTGCAGGTTACGATGAGATGAAATTATTTACGAAGTTTCAGGCGGATGTTAATAATTCGATAAAAAGGGGTCTGTATCACGGACTATAAGCGACTCGGATTGGTCACATTCTGTTATATAGCGAAGTAGCAAGTTAGTAGCCCAATGATGAGTCGGATTTCTTCTAAACCTTAAGTTTATTTTAAGTTAGGCTTATCAGCCACGTAGCTCTACAGGAAAGAAAGTTTTTTCATAAAAGTAATCTCGATCGTAAGCATTAGGATTGTAAATCTCCATTCATAAAATACATACAAACAAGGAAGAATTAAATAAAAACAATATTTAAAAAAAACATATAATGATTAATAATAAAATATGTTTTAATAAGTACAACTGGATCTGAGTAGAAGAGAATTGTTTCCTCAGATTTCTACAATATCCTGGATGAATGACCAATGGTCTGAAATAGACCGACGAATAACTTGCGTAAGCAATAAGTTTTAAATGTCCCATTTGTCCTATATAACCTGGTTATTTTGATATTTTGGGGATGTAAGTACCACCAAACTGCTCAATATTTTTGAAGGCCACCTTTTTTCTCAATTTTGTGATCAAATTATCTAACGATCCAAGTAGGAAGAATGAGTATTTAGTGTTATATCTAAAATGTTTAGTGATTGTATTTAATGGAACACTATCATAAATGTCCTTTGAGTCAGAAGGTAATATTTTTCAATAAATAGGATAAAAAAAATACAAGAAAAAAAATGAACAATTAATTGAAGATAAAGTATGCACATTCTGGAATTTTACTATCTGGGCGTATTATTACTTATAAGAAACTGAAGTGAAGTTGGCTTAGTGTAACGGTGCATAGGAGAGGTCCTGCGAAGATATCCTGCAACGTACCGTTAATTAAAAGGATTGTCACTGAGAGGAACACCAAGGTCGGGCTGTCATTCCCGTTGCTTCATGGACCGCTGAAACTATTTCTTGAAGAAGGAAAAAATGTGAATTAATTAATAAACTGGTTTCTGAAATATATATATTTTTATTTTCTAGGTATTTATAAAGAAACAAATCAAAATATTCTTGGTTTTTATAAAGAAAAAAAATTAATGAGCGGTCACCGCTATAAATTATACAACAGTTAATAATTTCCAAATAGTTATATATCCAATATGTGTGGTATTTCACACTACAAATTTGAAAAGAATTTGGAAACAAATATTACGATAATTGTTGAATTTTATTTGCTAATAACTCAAACATTCCACACTTTTTGATTGCACGATTTGTTTGTCCATGAGAATAATTCGCATGGTATATTGAGAAAAAAAAATAGTTGAAAAATTAAATAATACAATCAATATTCATTTCTTTTATTTCGGTATCATATAATATTTCAGTTCTAATTTTTTATATAAGCCAACATTACACTGATGTTTTCACTTCCAAATCCTACTACGACGTTTTGGCACTTCGAGCCATTTTCAAATTTACAGTCATATCTAATATTATAAAGACCGTAAGCAGTTTATACGGAAATACAAGGGATCTTGTTAGAACAAGAAACCATACCTCTCGAGAGTTAAAAAAAACACGTGGCATACGACAGGGTTGTAGCCTGACCTCGCTTCTTTTCGTTCTGGTTCTCGATCTGGCGCTGAGGAAAGCAAAACAGAAGATGCGAAGTTTTCAGTTGGGTCACAGAGATATGCAGCCTACTCTATACTCTCTGCTGGCGTTTGCGGATGACCTCGTCATATTGGCCCAGAATGACCGTGACCTCCAGAACAACATCAATATCCTAAAGGAAGATTCAAGAGATATCGATATGGTAATTAATCCTGAGAAGACAAAATGCATGCGCATTGGAAGAAAACCTCACATTGTTATGAGGGTATCGAGGGTCGAAGGTGAGATTTTAGAGCAGATGGAAAGTTTCAAATACTTAGGTGCCCAACTCAACGAAACTGGATATATTGACGAGGAGGTGAGGCAGAGAATAGGAGCTGCTGGAAGAATGTTCGGCTCGGTTAGGAAAGGTTTCCTGAACCGAAAAGAGGTGACGAAGGAAACGAAAATGACGGTCTACAGATCAGTATTCCTTCCTATACTGACGTATTCTTCTGAGTCCTGGACACTTACTCCGATACACAGGAGCCAGATCCAGGCTCTAGAGATGTGATACCTGCGAAAGGTGGAGGAAAAGACTAGACGAAACAGAATTCGCAACACTACAATCCACACCAATCTCGACGCCAAAGCGGTCGAAACCATAATAGATGAACACAAGTTGAGATGGTTTGGGCACCTTCTCCGTATGGATTGGAACAGAGTCGCAAGGAAGACGTATGAGACTCGCATGCAGGGTAGGAGACCGAATGTAAGACCCAGAATCTCCTGTGAAGAAGGCATGAGAGATGCATTCCAGAAGCGAGGTTTGGAATGGAACAGGAGACGAGAGCTGGTACTGGAAAGATCCACCTAGTCCAAGCTCTACATCAAGCAACCTCACACTGCATAGGCGGTAAAGAGGGACATGATTATGATAATGATGAACTAATATTATTTTGTTAACCTTTAATGCTTAATTATTTATATAAAAATTGATATATTTAAAAAAAACTCAGATATTTTGAAATATAAGATTTTAGAATTACCTATCATGTACTTGTCCATTAAGTTTCTTATGTAAAATACACGCGTCTTCTCATAATAGCCAGTATCGTCACATCTATTTTTAATTATTATATTACTTTTATTGTTATTAAAAGATTTATATAATGTTGAATCACATGTTATCAAGTTCATTGTTTTTGAGCGACTACAGTAGATAGTAGATGTATTTGAAATAATATATGAAAATACAAAAATAAATGACATCATGGCAGATAACGTGAGATATCTTATTATAAAATTCTGGGTTTTTTGTTCTTAAAAAAAATTATTCTTATTCTTAATTAATTAAGATATTACAATTTATGCTTTTTTATCTTAATAAATTTGAAATTTGGTTCATCTAGTGAAAAACTCGTTTCTCGAAAACTAATAAATTTTTTTATTGTAAATTTCAGAAAATATCAATATTATTAGACTCCGCCAGCAATATATATATAAGACTCCGCCAGCAAAAAAAAAACAAGAAAAAAAAATATATATATATTTTTAATATATATAAAAATATATATCTTGCGCAAGACTACAAGGTCTGGTCTTGGTCTTGGTCTTGCAAAATTGTTTGTGGTTTTGGTTTTGGTCTTGGTCTTGCAAAACTGCAAGACCAAGACCAATTTTGGGCAACACTAATTCCAAGGAGGGGCCTATCACTACTATCTTTCTTGGCAATGCCTTTAATATACTATCAAGTTAAATTTATTAATTTAGTTGAACTTTACTATGTTTATGTCAATAAAGCATCTAAATATACCTATTCTGTAGCGTTTTTTTAAGATCTAAAGTAACATGCTTAACATATAAGCAATATAGGTAACTGCAAGAATTTTGCGAGACTCTTGAGCAATACCAAAACTGAGCCTTGGTCTCGCATTTGGGCAACACTAGTTGTAGTTTAGAATAAGATGAAGCAGTTTTAGACGGATGTTAATAATTTGATAAAAAGGTGTCTGTACCACGGCCTGTATTATATTCTTCTTCTCTTTGTTCCAAATCGGCAGAACATAACACATAGTATATTCACTGAATTCTTTTAGCCTGTGGTGGGGGCCAGAATGTTCACGCTAGGATAATGGCCAGCAAAGGATTAGGCACCGCATTCACTCTTCAATAATTACTTCGCCTCTGATCACATTGTTCTTTTGTCTGTTACTTTATCAGGTGGCTGACCAAACAGATGAATCGTAAGACATCGCTCAATCATCATCGATCTGAAATTCACTTAAGTACTGATGGACGTCACCGAATCTATAAATATATGTACCACTAATGGTGTACTATAAATACTAAACTATAAACATATATAAATTTTTTACTTTCACTTACGTTTATATGTAATATATAGTAAGGGTAAGTATTGCGATCGTGAAAATTTTCTAATCTCAGTTTTCAACGGAAATACATGTTTTGAGGTCCCCTGAGTCCAAATAACCAAGTGTCGCAAAATGTCTGTGTGTCTGTGTATTAACAGTTTAGCTCATAAACGAAAAGTAGTACGAAACTGATATTAAGTATTTAAGGTTTGTACATGGGCTGGATGTGACTGCAACTTTTTAGTTAAAATCGGCTAACCGGAAGTGCCACTTTATATGAACGCTGAAACACATTTTTACAATTTTCTCAAAAACGGCTCTAACGATTTTGATTAAACTCCGTATATCATCGTATAACTAAGTAGTCTTTAATATCATTTAGGTCTTATCCCCGCTGATTTCACCTTACAGGACTTAAATGCCCAATGCTCATATATGTCTACCTCTAAAGCACCTTTAATATGATTTATTTTAAAAAGCTAATCATTTCGCATAGTTCAGAGTTACGAAAAAATGCTACATATAACTTTTGAAAGAATTTGATAAGTCAATAAAGAAAAAAAAATAATAATGCAGAAAAACCTGCGTTGCTATAAACTGTAGCGCCTAAATGAATGCATCGATTTCAATGAAACTTCGCTAAAGTCATTTTCTCGACACCCTTTAAATTTATCTATATAACATACTTCAACGAAAAGAAGCTGGAAAAAAACTTACGAGGGATGGTAAAATAAAATTCCGAATAACTCAAAAAGTATACACTTTTTTTGTCGATATTGTGTATGTTTTTTAAAAAGTTTAACCCCCTCTCAAAATATGAGGTTTCACGTTTCGGGATGCGTAGAATTCGAAAAACGAATACAATTTTTTTTGTCCCTCTGCCGTCCGCCGTACGCGCATTTTATCCGAAACTACTGGACCGATTATTTTCAAATTTGGATATAAAATCAGAGGTCACCCGGGGACGATCCTCCTTCATCGACATTACCATCCGTCTTTTATTTTCAAAATGGCGGCCGAAAAACCTGCGTTGCTATAGACTGTTGCTCCTAAACGAATCAACCGATTTCAATGAAGCTTCGCTAAAGTCATTTTCTTAACGTCCTTTAAATTTTTCTATATATCATACTTCAACGAAAAG